TTTCTTTTTCTTGTGTCATGACTTCAGTGCCTCCGCTTCAACTTGACGTTGCAGATTCATCTAGACGGTCACCCCACTCGGTGTACACGGTGAGCAGCCTGTTGCGCCCGGATGAAACTGTGCAGACTACCGGTCAGGTTACCTCAGACCAGTTTCCCAACTTCATCAACGGCAATGACGTGCAGCTGTTCGTTCAGACGCATGGCATGGTGCATCTCCGCAATGTGCAGAGACACAGCTCATCGCCTGTCTTTCTTTTCTTTTCTTTTCTTTTCTTTTCTTGTGTCATGACTTCAGCGCCTCCGCTTCAACTTGACGTTGCTGATTCATCCTGACGGTCACCCCACTCAGTGTACATGTTGCGCCCGGATGGAACTGTGCAGGCTACCAGTGAGGTTACCTTGGACCAGTTTCCCAACTTCATCAACGGCCATGACGTGCAGCTGTTCGTTCAGGCGCATGGCATGGTGCGTCTCCGGAATGTGCAGAGACACATCCCATCGCCTGTCTTTCTTTTCTTTTTCTTGTGTCATGACTTCAGTGCCTCCGCTTCAACTTGACGTTGCTGATTCATCTAGACGGTCAGGTCACCCCACTCGGTGTACACGGTGAACAGCCTGTTGCGCCCGGATGGAACTGTGCAGACTACCAGTGAAGTTACCTTGGACCAGTTTCCCAACTTCATCAACGGCAATGACGTGCAGCTGTTCGTTCAGACGCATGGCATGGTGCATCTCCGGAATGTGCAGAGACACAGCTCATCGCCTGTCTTTTCTTTTCTTGTGTCATGACGTCAGTGCCTCCGCTTCAACTTGACGTTGCAGATTCATCTAGACGGTCACCTCACTCGGTGTACACGGTGAGCAGCCTGTTGCGCCCGGATGGAACTGTGCAGACGACCAGTCAGGTTACCTTGGACCAGTTTCCCAACTTCATCAACGGCAATGACGTGCAGCTGTTCGTTCAGACGCATGGCATGGTGCATCTCCGGAATGTGCAGAGACACATCTCATCGCCTGTCTTTTCTTTTCTTGTGTCATGACTTCAGTGCCTCCGCTTCAACTTGACGTTGCAGATTCATCCAGACGGTCACCCCTCGGTGTACAAGCTGTTCGTTCACACCCATGGCATGGTACATCTCCGGAATGTGCAGAGACACAGCTCATCGCCTGTCTTTTCTTTTCTTGTGTCATGACTCCGCTTCAACTTGACGTGGCCGATTCATCCAGACGGTCACCCCACTCGGTGTGCACGGTCAGCAGCCTGTTGCGCCCGGATGGAACTGTGCAGACTACCAGTCAGGTTACTTTGCTAACTTCATCAACGGCAATGACGTGCAGCTGTTCGTTCAGATGCATGGCATTGTGCATCTCCGGAATGTGCAGAGACACAGCTCATCGCCTGTCTTTCTTTTCTTTTCTTGTGTCATGACTTCAGTGCCTCCGCTTCAACTTGACGTGGCAGATTCATCTAGACGGTCACCTCACTCGGTGTACACGGTGAGCAGCCTGTTGCGCCCGGATGGAACTGTGCAGACTACCAGTGAGGTTACCTTGGACCAGTTTCCCAACTTCATCAACGGCAATGACGTGCGGCTGTTCGTTCAGACGCATGGCATGGTGCATCTCCGGAATGTGCAGAGACACAGCTCATCGCCTGTTTTTCTTTTCTTTTCTTGTGTCATGACTTCAGTGCCTCCGCTTCAACTTGACGTTGCAGATTCATCCAGACGGTCACCCCTCAGTGTACACGGTGAGCAGCCCCGGATGGAACTGTGCAGACGACCAGTGAGGTTACCTTGGACCAGTTTCCCAACTTCATCAACGGCAATGGCGTGCAGCTGTTCGTTCAGACGCATGGCATGGTGCATCTCCGGAATGTGCAGAGACACAGCTCATCGCCTGTCTTTCTTTTCTTGTCTTTTCTTTTCTTGTGTCATGACTTCAGTGCCTCCGCTTCAACTTGACGTTGCAGATTCATCCAGACGGTCACCCCTCGGTGTACACGGTGAGCAGCCCCGGATGGAACTGTGCAGACGACCAGTCAGGTTACCTTGGACCAGTTTCCCAACTTCATCAACGGCAATGGCGTGCAGCTGTTCGTTCAGACGCATGGCATGGTGCATCTCCGGAATGTGCAGAGACACAGCTCATCGCCTGTCTTTCTTTTCTTGTCTTTTCTTGTCTTGTGTCATGACTTCAGTGCCTCCGCTTCAACTTGACGTTGCAGATTCATCTAGACGGTCACCTCACTCGGTGTACACGGTGAGGCCTGTTGCGCCCGGATGGAACTGTGCAGGCTACCAGTGAAGTTACCTTGGACCAGTTTCCCAACTTCATCAACGGCAATGAGGTGCAGCTGTTCGTTCAGACGTCTCCGGAATGTGCAGAGACACAGCTCATCGCCTGTCTTTCTTTTCTTCTCTTGTGTCATGACTTCAGTGCCTCCGCTTCAACTTGACGTTGCAGATTCATCCAGACGGTGACCCCACTCGGTGTACACAGTGAGCAGCCTGTTGCGCCCGGATGGAAGTGTGCAGACTACCAGTCAGGTTACCTTGGACCAGTTTCCCAACTTCATCAACGGCAATGCCGTGCAGCTGTTCAATCAGACGCGTGGCATGGTGCATCTCCGGAATGTGCAGAGACACAGCTCATCGCCTGTCTTTTCTTTTCTTGTGTCATGACTTCAGTGCCTCCGCTTCAACTTGACGTTGCAGATTCATCCTGACGGTCACCCCACTTGTTGCGACCGGACACTGGGAGGTTGCTGACTTGGTCTTCCGGATGCAAAAGGTATTGTTCGCCCCTCCTGGAGGGGCGTGTGTGTGCGGAGTGGCAGAATACCTTGCCACCAACCTTTTCTTCTTCAGCAGGGGGCTGGAGCCGGCCCGGGGGGGCCTCCAGCCAACGAAGATGCCCCCAAAGGACATGTTTTTTGAGACTTAAGCCCTGCTGAAGCCGCACAGATGGTGAGGGGCCGATCGGATCACGTCAGATCTGGAATGTCGGAAAGCGCAGAAGTTGCTACGGGCGGTTCCCTGCGAACAAGGTTGTGAAGGTTTGTTCCGCAGGTTGCAACGGTGTGGGGCCGGCCGCAACGAAGTGACAGGAGGTAACATGTTGGGTTTTGGAGATGTCCCCTGAAGATGCGTGAGTCTGAGCGTGCTGCCTTTCTTCCAGCTAGGTGCCGACGGGCTCCGGTCTGTGACGGTTCGCTATGGCAGTGAGTGTTTGTGGGGGCCTGGAGGGAGGGGGCGGAGGGGGCGGAGGTTAGCCGAGTTGCGTGAGCCAAAACCCAGTGACAAGGACTTGAAGGTTGCGGCGATAGCTCGGGGTCCCAATAGAGAAAACCGTGCCACAGAAAGCCACTTGGGAGTCGTCCGAGTCCAGGTATGAAGGGGAATATTTTTTTGTCTTAGTGTTGCCCTCGGCGAAAGCTTCGCGATGGATCGCAAAAAATATTTGTTTTCTCTGGAAAGTTTTGCACGCAATGATGCAAGCAGAATGCACAAGGTTAGTCAGAGGAAAGAACAGTCGGAGGATTGCTGCCAGCGACACCGCAAAGGCAACCCCCCAGTAGAAAGCAGCCTGGTGGAGTTTTGAAACTTTCGGGTCCAGTTGAGCGCAGCTCCCGAAAGATTCGCAAAAGTTCCGAGAAAGTTTTACGCCATCCGCGGCCAACGCGTCCAGCTTGTCCGCACAGTTTCTCCTGACATGGCCAACTGGTCTTGGGCTTCTTTGCCTCGTGCCACAGGAGCAGCAAGTTTGCGCCAATCTTTTTGGACTGCTCATCAAGGTGTTCTGGACATGTCGTTGGACGCAGTCCTGGACAAGATGTTTTTACCCAAGAACATTGCAGAGAAAACGCCTTTGACATTTCGTGACCCCCAATTTGCAAGGAAGTTGGATTCCAGACGTGAACCCAGACGTAAGCCACTGGAGGTCAAAAGCATCCAAGTTTGTCGCCTTCCACATTGCTTGCGCAGCAATGGGAAGTGCCGATGTCTTTGGAGAGCTTAGCTTGACAACCAAGCTACTGCGAGGTCTCTTGCCTTTGACGCCTCCGAAGCAGCGAACATGGGGCTAAGTGCATGTATGATGGTGGGCGGGCAGTGGGGTGGGAACAGCTGATCAATGCCTGGAACAACTGCTGGGGGAGCCTCAGGAAAAGTTGTTTCCGAGGAGGTTGAATGAGTGGCATCAATCAGAGCTTCCCTCCACACACAACAGCAACAAACCCAGAATTCTGCCGTAGTATTTGCGCGGGCGCTTTCGTTCGGTGTTGGCAAGTGTTACAAGCGACCAAGAATGTGGATGGCAGCTTAAAAATCCAACGAAGCTTACCCGTTCTGCGGGCAACTGTGTGAATTGCTGAATCACGGCAAATAAGCATTACGGTCGACGCGTTTTCTTTTGCAAGCAGGCCAGATAGATGTTGAGATTCTGACTTCAAGGAGCTGAGCGGGTGGGTCTCCCCGTGTTTTCGGCTCCACAGGTTTCACACCTCAGTGACATCCAGATTCATGGAATAGGTGGTTTCAGAAGACATCCACCACAAAACTGAAGTTTTAACGACCTCATCAACGGCGCTTGTTTTTATTTGTTTGGGTTCCGGGGCTGCTCCCGAACCCCTACCTAGCAGAGAGACCTAGCCCAGTTTTTGTTGCTTCTCCTCGCGTGAGATCCCATGGCATGGCGAAATGGGACAGCAAGCGCCTGAAGCTGGGCCCTGAAAAGTGTGGGGCGCCCAGGCGAGAGCCAAGGGAAGGTGTCAGGTCAATTCGGCCAACGGGCGACTTGGAATTGGAGGGAAGTTGTTGGCACCTCAGCGATTGGCAACGGGTCAATGCCACAAAGTCCTTAGCATTGGGACCAAAGTGAGGTGCCCTGATGGGGATGCTTGGCTGTCCAGGCATTTGCCATTGGCAGCGGGGTTGGGTGTTGCCTGCAGCTAATTGCATGTCCAAAAAGTCGGACGCGCGTCAATTGATTGCGTGCATGTGCAATGCCGGCGGTGCTTCAAAGCGCTTAGACGAGTACATTCGGAGCTTTGAAGAAAGATATGGGGCGGTGCCCATCGAGGAGATCCCGGTGAACACCTCGCAGGTCTCATCGATCAGCGCTGTCAGCGAGCCGAAAGCGGGCCTGGCCAGCGTGGCGCGGGAGTTCTGCCGGACGACGCCCAGATTTCCGTCCGAGCCGCTGGCCTGCGAGTCTTCGCCCATGCCCCGTCAGGCCCCAGCTCGAGGGCCCCAAGGCCCTGGGCCCTCGAGCTGGGCCCAGCCAAGCTTCAAGGCGCTGCACTTGAGCGAGGTTTCAACGAGCCATGGCCATCCCAGCTACCCCTCCAGGCGCCAGACCATGGACCAGTCCTGGCTGTCAGTGTCCAGTCAGTGTGGAGAGGTGCTCCAGAGCACAGAGATGGCGGCCCGGGGGCCCATGCAACGCCCTGACAGAGCTCGGGCACCCAGCAATCCGCCGGAGCTTTCTTTGCGAGGCCCCGCTCGCTGTTCAGGGCCCATGGATACGCACATCTCCATGGACCGCATGGACCAGAGGGCCTCTCCAAAGCATTCCTTTGTACATCCCCTACCCGCTCCTCGTGGACCACGAGAGGACACGGCGGCGGCAGTGGAAGCTGCCAAATCTGCGGCCTCCGCGGCTGCAGTTGCCTCATCCCAGGCACGGCCTAGAAAAGCCGCGTGCACTTCGACTGAATTGGCGAGGCCGCCTCGATTGAGCACTGAGGCGGGTGTGTGTGTGTGTGTGTCAAAATGGGAGCAAAAAGACACCCTGAAATGCTGGTCTCCCATTTGGCTTCCCTTTAGACCACCTCAACAAGGGTATTCGCTCGCATAAAGCGCACCCAGGTGACAGCGCGGCCAAGGCCAAACTTGGAACTGGCTGACCCCTTGAGCTTGCGAACGGAATCCTCGACGCTGAGTGCTTCACAGCTGGGCATGGGACGGCACGCCTCTCTGGAGGACGAGGTCAATTGCCAGAGCCCAGTTCACATACCACAGCCTTCCAAGCTGTTGCGCCGATTCCCCAAAACGGAGACGGCAGCGCAGACGCAAGAGGTATCAGAGCCTCTGGCTGACTGGGCTGAAGTTGCCTTGTGCGACATGAGTGCTCAAACCGACAACGAGGGGACGGGCGAACCATGCGCGAAGCGATCCTAAGCCAGGATCACCAAGTTGAGCGAAAACTTTGATTTGGTGGAAGCCTATTTGTGTATCAACGCGTGGTGCTTTGTTTGTGTGAGTTTGTTTGATTTGTTTTGTTCTGTTTGTTTGTTTGTTTGTTTGTTTGTTTGTTTGTTCGTCCGTCCGTCCGTCCGTCCGTCTGTCCGTCCGTCCGTGTTTGGGTTTGGTTTGGGTTGGTTTTTGTGCTGGCATGTTGCCTGGGCTCGCTTTGCATCCCAGGCACTGGCGCCCTGCCAGAGGACCCCGGCTCCCCCCTCGGATTCTCTGCGTGGCGCGGCGTCCAGTCCACCCCCGACTTCGGAGAGGAGCGTGGGAGGTGGGTTTAGGTTGTTGGGACGATGGGATCACCCAAGACCTCTTGATAAGATGGCCATGGGGCTGGGAGTTGAGGGTGTCATCTTCATGGATGTGATAAGATAAGCCACTTGCCATCACAGAGCGCAGAATTTTCTGCGTGCAGGAGCTGCGTGCGGCCAAGGTGTGGACATCAGGCACAACAGGCACCACGGACACGACAGGCACGACAGGTCGCGCCGGGTTGCTTGGAAACGCATTGGCCAAACTCTTGTTGGCACTGAGGTGTCACTCAATCACACATCACATCCTCACATTCTGTTGGTCACTTTATTCTTTCCCTGCTTGATTTGATGCACATGCGAAGCTAATTAAGCCGAGGTTAGCGCTGGGGGCGGTCAAGGATCCTCAGAATGCCGAGCTGAACCAGCAGCTGCGGAATGCCTTGGCACGTGGGCTAAGCCACTTGCGCCGTTTACAAGCGCTCGCAGCATGACAGCTCGATTGCAAGACTTTTGGGGCAAAAAGGGAGGGCCTGCGAGAGCGGACGTTCTGGGCAAAGGCAAGACGGAATTGAGACGTGCGTGATGGAACAGCTGAGGTGCCAAGCATGCTGAAATAGCGAGGCGCTCGGAGTGTGCGCATGAAATCGAGCTTGGGGCGTGAGAAGTGGCCAAGGTCCTCTCTGACAGTGACACGGAGTCCCGTCAGGCGAGGCCCGAGTCTCTCCCAGGTTTGTTTGACCATGCAGCTCAGGCCCCGGCTCAGCAGCCCGCCCAGCCTGCAACGCGTCCTGCGCCTGGGGCCCAGGGCCCGTCACATTCTGCACGAACCAAAGCCACGATGCCAGGCTGAGAGAGAAGCAGCAGGCTGGCCCTTGGATTCAGATTCTCTCGCACCAACCACAAACAAGCGTCACCTTGCGGAAGTGAAGCGGGGTGGGCAATGACTTACTTATGATCAGGAGGGGAATGAGGGAATGACCTGGAAGTTGGCTTCCCTACTCACCAACAAGAAGGTCAATCTTCTCCCGACCGGGGAGGGAGAGAGCTCCTGGTTTTTGCTCCAGTGCTTCGGATCCTTTCGAAAGGTTGCGATCCCTCAACTGCACCAGGGGTTCATGAACTCACCAGGTTTCTAACCCCTGGTGCAGGCTGCGGCTCCGGCTCTGGTTTGCGGGGTCAGCCATTCGGCGTGGCTTCTGGTTTGCTAGCCAGGGGTCCAAGAATCCTGGGTTCTCAATGAGCTTCGCGGATTTTTTCTTTTAATGAGCATCCTCCATGTTGACAACAGGCTCATTGTTTTGGGGTTTCATGTCCAAATTGGCAAGCGTTTTCTGAAAACATGGGAGATCTTCAGAAGCGTTCTTTCCCCAAAAAAGAGGGCCACCAAAGGAGAATTCTCAAAAGAGCCGGATGGGGTTTAGGTTCCTAGGATTGGAGTGGTGTTAGCTTTGGCAGGTTCTAGGAAGGTTTCTGGCAGGTTGCATGGAGCTTCTGTTGGGGATGGTTGAGTTTTCTCTCAGACGCAGAAACCAAGGTCTCTCTGAGTCTCTCTCACCTTTTTTTCCAGGTTTCGGCTGGCCGCCGTCGGGAGCGCGCCGCAGGCCGCCCTGGAGGGCTTCCGCGCCAAAGCGGCGGGGCGCCTGCTGGAGGTGCTGGGCCAGGCCAGGAGGGGAGGCGAGGGGGTTCAACGGTGTGGCAGATGTCTCTCGTTTTGAGAGTACTTCTCCATTTTGGGTTTGTGGAGTTTAGGGGAAGCCAAAAAGGAAGCATCAACCATTTTAGGGAAAGGGAGAGGAATGTTCCGCATGATTTGTTTGATGGAACGCCTTTTCAAATGTTGCCAAGGGAAACTCAAAGGCCACCTTGTTTGCTGGTTGCCGGAAAACGTTTCCTGCCAGGACTGCAAGGCTTTGGCGGATGAGCTGGCGGCAGCTTTCGTCAAGGCACCTTTTGGCGGACATTTGCAGGGTGAGAGATGAAGGCGGCGTCCTGCTTTGTTGTTGATTCGTTTCCCTGGACGTGTTGGGTGAATAGTCCCACTTTGTCCAGGACCTGCCCACTCGGGGAATCGTTTCAGGGGCGAACCGACAAGGCATTTTTCTTCTGTCTAGGCGGTTGCGTTGGTTGACAGCTCAAGATGTCCACGTGACTCAACAAGCCAAAGACGACAGTGACAGACACAATGCCAGCGTGTCACAACATAGGGATATCCCCAAACATGGTGCGTTTCCTGCTGGTTCCCTTCAAAGCAAGGCAAGCAATGGGCACGCAGAAAAACACACACACGCTGAATCCACACACGCAGGGAAAATATCCCAGATGCAAATCTTAGGGCCGCAGGCGATGTGAAGGCAATGGACGCGCCATGAGCCGCAGTGGTGGTCGAGGTACGCTGGCCATTGTTCTCGGCGCGGCGGTGGTGGGACTGCCAGGCAGGGTCGGCAGCGTTGCCTCGCTTGTTCTTCAAACCTTGCATCGGGACCAAGATCAGCGAATGAGGCGAATTGCATGCTTTTAACACAAGAAAACAACTAGCAGGGCATCTTCTTAACGTGCCAATCTCATCATCGGGGCTTAGGGTTTAGGGCTTAAGCTCAAGAGGCACCCGGCAGTGCCCAAAGGGGATTCCTCTTCAAATTTGGGCGTCCTTGTGTGTGAACATACGCATCCCCCTCCCCCCTAAACCCTCCCCAAAAGCTCTACACACCCCCTCAAAGAGCAAACCAGGGGTCAGCGCTGATCTTGGTAGCGACACCAACCTTATTCAACTGTTCCACTGAAAAGTAGACGATGGCAAGAAAGCCATGAAAGAGCAAATTGTCACATCTGCCGCCTGTTCCTTGAAGGGATAAAGCGGACATGTCCCCGGGCCCAGCGAAGGCAAAAAAAGGTACTTGACACACGAGCGCTGTCAGGGCTTTATTGGGAGTTCTACTTGGCTGAGCGGGACCGCCCCCTAGAGGTGTTGCCGGTTCGACCGCCACCGCCGTCGCCACCGCCCTTACCACCGCGACCGCCGGCTCCGCCTGCACTGGCTCCGCCTGTGCCGGCTCCGCCTGCGCCGGCTCCGCCTGCGCCAGCTCAGCGGCCGGTGGATGCGGAGGATGAGCAGATGTCGCCCGGCCCCTACCGGCCAAAGCTTTACGCGAAGGACGCGGAGTGCGCGGACCAGGCAGTAGAGATCGGGGACTTGCCCAGCGAAGAGGCGTGCGACAAGGTGGTCGCCACCAAGCAGGAGTGCGGCCGACACTTCATGTTCAGCACTGCCCATCCTGACTGGAAATGCCGCTGCTGTGCACCCTTCGGGGAGGAAGGGGGGCCCACGTCGGACCAGTGGAGCGTGTACAAGGCAGGAGGGGTTTGATTGTCAGGGGTAGCCGGAGGATGGCTTGGTCTCGTGAAGTGGCCAAGCCCAAGACCCAAGCCTCTTTCCAAAGCGCACTTGTTCGCCATGCCATGGCTTGCAATTTGTGGCAGCCTTTGGTAACCCGCTTGCTAATCGCGCAAGAGAAGCAGAGGTGGAGCAAAGCATTGACTGGTCGAGCAAATCACCGAACACCCCAGATGCGGTCACGGAAAGGACATGGCCAGATCATCAGGAAAGTAAGGATTACAACGGAGATGTATGGTGATGGAACCAGACCAGCACTATCCGGCTTCGTGAGGCCTGTGTATGAGCCCCAAGTAGGGCTGTCCGGCTTTGTTTTTGCGGGTACCCTTTTCGGGGCTACACGGAAACTCAAGGGAACCCACCCATCTCTATTTGTATTTTTTGTGCGGGGGGGGGGGAACCAACTGTACCCAGTGGAATTAGCAGTTCCTGAGGCGCAGGTGCCCAGGGACCCGTCCCTGCCGGCGATGCCGCCTGCACCGCCCCCGGTGGACCCGTTGGCGGGCCTGCCGGTGGCCGCAAGTCGCCCCACCTGGCTGATGCGGAAGGACGCGCTGGTGGTGGACGCCCGGAAGGTGACAGATGCGAAAGCTGGACGAAATGGACATGTCGGTTTGCCTTTGGCTTCCTTTTTGTCGAACTCCAAAGAAGGGACAACTCTGGCTACAAGAGCGGTTGGAAGGGAGCCAGGGAGCTGTGGTGCCTTTTGAGAGGGATCAGGTATGTCGGCAAAATGGGGCTTTGTAAACAGATATTGTAGAAAACCTTCTGGTTTGCCTTTAACATTTAAACCAAGGTGAAGGAAGGAGAAGCTCAAACACACACCCAAATACTTGTGGTTCTCGGGGAATATGGGAAGAACCTCAACCATCCAGAATCCACTTATGATTGGACAGGGGCATTCTGGCATTCTGGTGGTGTGACACATGTGGTCAAAGCACCCGTTTGTTGGGATGGGGGACGCGTTCCAGTGGAACCACGACCAGGGTCCACAAGAGTTTTGATGGCACATGTGGGGCTGTGGCCTGACCATCCATGCAGCCCCGAAAAGGGGAAGCAGTCTATGCTCCCGGGGCCTGCAAGTGAACTCCAATCGGAAAAGGCAATGCCTGCCGAAGCTCTGGCCGTAACGCCGTGATCACCACGAGCGGTTCACGAACTTATGACCCTTCATGCCATGCCAGCGGTGAATGTCCGTGTGTGCAGGCCAGTTCCGGGGGGATGATCATCTTGCAGGCGGTGCTGAGTGACTCGCACAGCACCTGGGGCAACGCCAAAGACAACAAGTATCTTGCTTCAATGTGGTTGCAAGATTCAGAAGGTTTTGCCGCCCAACCGTTCCAGAAACCACAGGCCACCTGTTCAGAAGTTTGGGGAATCTGGGGCCAGTTTCTGCAATCGATTCTTGGCCTGACGGCTTCGGATGCGGGAGCTTCCGCACCCCAAAGCCCCAAAGTTCCAAAACCGTGCTCTCAAGGCGTTGCCAGTGAACCAATGCAACATATTCGATAGATGAGCGGGGCAACTTATTGTTCAGTTCGAGCTAAGTGAGCCTCCGAAGTTTACTAAAAGTAAACAACAGGCTTGCATGGAGGATAGCTTTGCATCCCCTCCCCCGTACTTTGTCGTTTTTTACTCCCAAACTTAGGTGAGAGGGACGACAGGAAAGCAATGGGCGATGCGAACAGACAAGCCCACCAAACCAAGCAAAATTGGGGCCTATATCCTTCATGCCTACTAGGAGATAGACAGATGGAACATTCACAGTACACAAATACACACACACACACACATATTCTAGATGTATACAAATGTATACAAATGTATACATATACGCATATAAACAGATACACGTATATACATATATACATATATACATATATACATATATACATATATACATATATACATATATACATATATACATATATACATATATACATATATACATATATACATATATACATATATATATATATATATACTTGTAGATGTATATATATATACGTATTTGCACGCCTCCCCCGTTTTTTGGTGGGTTGGCAGTGGAAATCCCAGACCGGATCAGGAAGCTGGAGGACCGCCCGGACTGGCTGCGGGCCATTCTGGCGACCAACCAGGCGAGCGAGGGGTGGGGTTGGGGCGGGGATGCGAGCGAGAGGGGCGCCCAACGAGGGCCCACTTACTGCTTTGGGGGCCACAAATTGGTGCGGTTGTCCGCCCTCTTGGTTCTTCACGTGGTTTTGGGTAGACCGCTTTGCGAGGTTTGTGCCCTCAGAGCGTTTTGGCTGGGTGGGTCGGTGGGTGGGCGGGGGGCAGGTGGGTTGCAGGCAGTGAACTGTGGGTGTTGGAACCAATGTCGGCTTGAAGGGCGAAGCCGGGAGTCAGCGGCTTCGCCGCAGGCACATGCCGAGAAGCACGGGCATGTCATGGTGATCAGAGCGCACCCCACGGAGCCCCAGCTCTTTGACTGGATGATCAAGGACTGGGAGTCATTTTGACTTTCTGGGGTTACCAAAGTCTGCTGGGGTCGCTTCCCTTCCACCCACTGTGACTAATGGCAAGGTAATGAAACTTGAGTGAACAATCGTAGGACCTACCCCTCAGTCGTTTCTTTGTCATGCACATTGTGGTTAATTATGGTAACCCTATTGTTGGAGTCCCGCAAAATGCGCCAAGGACCTGTTTAGCCGACTTTCGATCGGGCCAGGACTGCGGGAAGAAGAGCCTTCGGGTTTGCACCAAAATGAACGAGCGGGAGAGCTTCAACTGGGAGAAGCATCTCATGATGCAGGCCTCGGGAGAAATAAACAACTCAAGAAATGAACAGATCAAGTGGCTAGATACTTCGATGAATAGATAAATCACATGAACAACATTTCTTTTTTTTTTCTCTCTCTCTCTCTCTCTCTTCTCCCCTCCCCTCCCCTCCCCTCCCCTTTCTCCCTCCCTTTCTCCCTCTCTCCATGCAGATTCGGATATTATATGCATATATACGATACACATTAGCTTCTCCAGTTGCTTTGGGTAACGTAACGAGTTCCAAAACTTGATGCAGGACTACCTGCTCAGTCCGCAGGAATTCAGCCATGTGCTAATGTTGGATGCGGACGCAGCCCTGATTCAGCCCCAGCTGGACACGCTTCGGCGCATTGCAGAGATCCTGGACAAAAAGGGCAAGGAGCTGTTTTTGACCAACGAGGACTGGTTGGATGAGAACGGGGCCCGCAGGATCAATGGCGGGCTGATGCTTGCTAAGAACACCATCTTCACTCAGAATCTCTTTCAAGACACCTTCGAATCTCACGTGAAGGGCTACCAGACCTTGAAGAACGCCCGCATCGGCACCGGGGTGCTGCGCTGCACCAGCAATGAGCAGATCTGTTTGAATGACTTGTACTACGGCGACCAGGAGAGCTTTTTCGAAACCCGGGGGAGATGAAGGTTAGTGAGGGACAATCCCAGCCACAATCAGGTGCGGATATTTGCCTTCTAGTTTTCTTTGCGTGGATCTAGGTAGACCATTTTAATGCCTGTGACTCAGAGGGCCTCCTTCAAAGTAGCAAAGTAGTCATAGGGCTGGGAACCCCACTTTGGCATCAAGGAAAGGGTTTCCCACATGCCTCCTGCCCAGGAGCACTTCACCCACAAAGTGATCATGGCCAGTGGCAAGAAGTACAACCGCGGCGCAGAGCGGGGCGGGGAGGCGCACATCACCGACGAGACCACTGAGATCATGCATTGGATGGGGGGCGCCAAGGCCACTGCCGGCAAGGCCCTTTGCGACGGCGAACGGGATCTCACATTTGGCGGCCCCAACGGCTATGGATGCAGGAAGAGGTAAGCGCAGGGAAGCATTCGTCTCACTAGCAAAAAGAAAAGAAGAACAAGGGCTGGAAGCTTGGAGTTGTTGGCACGGCAACAGTTGGGCATCTGATTTTTTGCCATTTCACCTTTTTGTCCTTTGAGCTTTGGGCGACCTGTTTTGGCCTTTTAGTCGCTTTTGGGGGTTTGTCCTGACATCTTGGAACCAGTTTTTCTGACTTCTTGGGTTTCTTCTGGGCGGCCAACTCACACGACAATTAGCATTTGGAGATTCTGAGCAGCGCTGCGCATGTCCGCAAGCGCGCGCAGCTTGCTTCACTGTTTGCATTGCCACGTGACAGGCATGTTTTTCCTGCACTGCATGTAGTGCCTGCCCGAAAGTAGCGCTGTTAAGTTTGGGCCAAGGGGGGGGGTTCCAAAAGCGATTCGGATTCCCTCTCAAACTTTCACTCCCTATCATGCCAGTGGTTCAGGAATCCCGGGTTCCCATTCTAGGGTTTCCAACAAGACAGCGAAGGGTACGGGAAACCGGATCAGAGGAACTTCAGGGGGACCCAAGTTTGAACCCTACCCTGGCGCCTTTTTCCGAGCTTGGCGTCGAGTTTTTTTTTGGTGGTCAGGCCCCATTGAACGGACGTTGAGCCCAAGCAAATCCTGCGGAGGGCCGTGGGAGCTTCCGAACCTCGGCTCAGGCCTGGGGCCTCACGCCGGAGTCTGCGCAGCGCCTCCGCGCTCTGGCGGGGGGGGTGGGGAGCTGACACTTGGTAATTACGGGCGCAACTCAACTGATCAAAGCCCACTTCTCCGTTTCTGGCGTGCCCTGCAGTAGCTCCCAGACCTTTCTCGCCAGTTGGCAGCGCTGCGATCCACGCCGGGCTTCCGAGAAGCTGCCGGGGCACCCAACACGAATTGGGAATGCCTGAGAAACTGGACGGAGTCCCAGCGTTTTTGCTCGCAAACAAACCCTTCCGGTTGTAAGTATTCTTTTTATCCATTCTCTGAATGGATGCTTAACATTGGGAAACCGTTGTGTGACCAACAGACTGGGGACAGACAAGGGAGCGGGGAATCTTGACGAACCAGCTCCCGCTCCTCCGCCAGTGACGGGTGCTTGGCCACCTTCGCCTTTGCACTATGGCTATAAACCTCTCAAATGGATTTGGTTCGTGTTCTTAACCCTAAATGAAAGAATCTCCAGACTTGTTTTCGGCCAACTCAAATGGATTTGGGGCTTCCGATTTCTCCCACCGAAAACGCAAAACGCCCAAGCGCTGAGGTTCTCCGGCGCTGTGGGGGCTGCGCCTTGGAGGCCGCCGCGCTGGCCGCGGAGGACCCCCAGAGTTGGGCCGACGAAGACCTGAAGGCGAAGCGAGCGGAGTGGCGCCGGGCCGGCCTCGCGCGGGGCTGAGATCTCGAGAGGCGAAGCCCAGATTTGTCACCCCGGGACATGTGGGTGTGGGTCAAAAAATTAAACCCCCAGGGGACAACAGGTTTTGGTCCATGTTGCCACTTGCCAGGGTTCCGTTTTGGGTAATTACCTATTTGTGACCCACAGCCATGTCTTCTGGCGGGTTTTCGAATGCCTTTCAAAAGTCGACAATGGCAGTCTTCCTCGTTTTGCTGAGCTCACTGGAGAACATGGTTGTCTCCCGTGTTGCATGCATCGTTCCAAGTGAAATCGATGGCTAAACAAGTCCTTTCCAGGAAAGTTGATCTTCCCAACACGCCTGTTGCGAGCGATCCTTTAGCAAGTCTGCCTTCGCTTGATTCAGCTGATGTTGTTCCGCAATCGCCATGCAAATGTTGGACCATTAAGAAAGGTTGGAAATTGCTGGGGTGAGTGAGACACTGGCTGACATCAAGAGTTCAGCTGCTGATGTCTTGGGTTTTCTCTAAATCTGCTGTGCGTGCGCTGGCAACGTGAGAGTTATATCTTGGCTCTTGTGGTCAACCCGGGGTCAACATCGAAACATCCTTGGTTGTCTTGGTGGCTTTTGACTTGCTGGTTCTCAGTATGGAATCAGCCGGGGGATTGGGTTTGAACCCATGGATTCTGAAGGAGATTGTAAGGGCATGGTTCAGTCGAGCCAACAAGTTGAAGGATCCCTTGTGATGCAGCACCCAGGCCGAGGCAACACCATTGCCGCACGCGGCCCAGTGGCGAGTTTATTCCATTCATGCTGACAATGCTGCATGGGACCACGTGCAGTTTGGCGAGATGGGGCTCAAATGAACCAAGCGGCGCCCTGCATACTCGCGGAGAAGAATGCATGACTGGAAAGCCCCTAGCATCAACTACCACGGGCCCAGCAATGCCCAAGCGTTCCCAACAAGATTGTTGGACACACTCAGGCTCAGACGTGCTTGCCTACTTGCACTTCTTGTAAAGGTGGAGCATTCGCGGGTGCCATTGAACACGAACGAGCGGAGCATAATATCCACTGAACGGGATGTGCTTCCTTCCCCAACTTTCAAAACCAACCTTCAATGTTGCTTCCCCCCCTGCCCTCCTTCTTTTTCTCTTTGCCGAAACTCGGCTTCCGGCGTGATCCCCGAGCCCACCGGGGTTCCCCGGTATGGCGAGCCCCGTGTCCACGGGGGGCGCCTGCCGCACCACCCCGCAAGCTGTGGGCGCGTCCGCCGAGCCGATCCCGTGGAGGGAGCACAGCGCCGACGCGGAGCTGGGACACCTGGTGACCAGCGACGCGGAGGCGCGACCGCAGCGGTGTTTTTCAAGTGTCCAAGAAGCAGCGGTTTGCGGGGTGCTGTATGGGTTCGATCATGTTCGATCACAATTGGGTGCCCGATACCGGATGCTACACACATGATCCTGTCAGAACCTGCTGAACAACACCCAAGAGTCGCCGGAAAAATGAGCCGGGAGTGCCGTGGACACTTAGAAGACGGGTTGAAGAACAACTGTCGATGGATGTTTAAGCTTACCGTGCTCGGGCAGTATGGGCCATCGAAGCCACCATGACAGGCCTCCCTCAAGGAAGCCACCATCCGTAGGGGGTGTCTGATGACTTCCGTGGAATCACCAGGAGGGTACGTCGCCCTTAGAGGGGCCCATTCAAAGCGTTTCAGGGGGCAAAACAAATCTGCAGCAAATGTTTAGCTCGCTTGGCTCTTTCACTCAGGCTAAAATCGGAAATCTGATCGTCCAATGTTCTCTGTGGCCAGTAGCTTGGTTTTTGAGACCTGCTGTTCAAAGTCAATCCGCGAGATCCTTCTGCTAGATGGACTATGTGATTTCCCTTGTAGTATCCCGTAGTGGTGCCCCACTGATGCAGTACCCACAAAGGAGTATCGGGATTCCCCCCCCCCCCCGCCCAGCCCCACCTTCAGCCAAGCCGACAGAAACCGCAGCGAGGTGAGTTTGGGCACCCACCAGCTGCCGCTGAGAAAGTGGTTGGGGATCACCGCCTATCAGATGGTCTACGTCTGCCTGAAGCTTTCCTGGGTTTCTGGCTGGTTTTGGTGGGAATAGTGGGTCGATGTCGGGGTAGGTTTAGGGTTTAGGGTCGGTTTAGGCTTCAGGGTTGGTTTACGTTCTGGCTTAGGTTCTTCCTTTTGATTGGTTTGGCTGTGGGAAAAGTGAAGTGCGAGAATTATTGTGCTTCTTCCAAAGCTCAATGGATGGACCCCCACCAGAACGGAGTGTCACGGAGCAACTCATCGCGGAATTTCATAATTTTTCCCCAGCACCGACTGCAGCCTTCCTGAATGCATGTTCGTCTGCAGGAAGTGGCTTTCCTGTGAACACAAGGCGCTCAACGTTGAGGTTAGGTGGATGAGTCGCCACTCTGAGCCTCCAGGCCTTTGCTAGGGTGCCAACATTTGTTCGGGATGGTGAAACAAGGGAAGCCAAGGTTCAAGGCGGTCAATGTCCAAATTGGGGCTGGTTTCTTCTGCGTTTCACAGGTTTTGTAAATAAGTTGAAGCGACAACTTGATGCTTCTCAGGGAAATTAACTGGGGTCTGGGAGTGAAATTCGCTGGAGTTTTCGGAAACAAATTTGTTAAAAGGGGATGGTTCAGTTCGGGGTGATGCACTCACAAGAAAATCAAATTAAATCGGCGGTAAGGAACACCGGCATGGGGGTGCTGGTGCTGCCGCTTGAGGCGGAGCGCTTCCACCAGGAGAACCCCAGCTTCTCGCCCCAACTCACAGAGAGCTGAAGGGGCTTGGGATGAGCCAACCCGGCTGAAACAGAGAGGAACAGGGCGGCTACTCAGATCACGGGCATTTTCTAAAGCCAACTTGCTTTTCCGTCTTGGGGAACGAAGGGGCCCTTGTTGGCGTCGCCTCGCACAAGGCGGCTCCGAAACGGGCTTCGTGCCAGGCATCTGGGTGGGCGTCTACATGGGCGTGAGTGGGTCCACGCAGCTGATCTGCCCAGTGATCGGAAAGCTGTCGGACCAGCATCGGTCCTCTTGGGGCAAGAGGCGGGAGGCCCATTTCAAGGCACATTCTCGTCCATGCGAATAATGTTTCTGAAATTTGATGGATGCAAGTATTTGCAAGACAGGGAAACCACACAACCAAATAGGCCACATCGGGAAACGACAAAAGCACGAAAAGGTGGGCTCCCTTTGACCGCAAGGCAAAGTTTATGAACCTGTTTCCCTGTCAGATTCCACCGATAGCTTCACAGGGAGGCGGCCCTTCACAAAACCTCACCTAACCTTTATCAAGAGAGGAGGGAGGCTGGAAGCGAATGAGTCCCGTTTGAGTGGGCAGCGGGTTCCGAACCTTTTGGTAGCTTCCCATTCACAAATCCAAGAAGTTCACTGACGGTTGAAATAACCGACTGCCCCCCAATTAATTCGTATGGACAACCTCAGCCCTAGAAACCAAGAAAGTAGGACTGGGCAGCTTCAGCCCAGTTGGTTGTCCCCAAAGTGGCATCACGGATAGGTGCATTAGCAAAATTGAAAGGACCAACAAACTACAACCCCCCCCCCAAAAAAAAAAAAGAATCGGACCACCAAACCAGAGACAACAAAAAGCCTAGGACCGCCCAGAAAAAGAAGGCCCAAGGTCCAGACCTGGGGCCCCACTCCGCGAGAATCGAATCCATAGGCGGCCCTTCATCTTGAGCGGCACCTTGTTGGCGGTGCTGGGCCTCGTGGCCATGCGCCTCGCCTCGCTGCAGCTGCTGCCGTGGGTCTTCCTGGCCTCGCTGCTCTTCCAGCAGCTCGCGGAGCCCCGGATGAGCCATGGGCCGTGGGGCCGTGGGGCCGTGGGGCTGTGGGGGGGAGGCCTCCAAAGGTTGACCGTTTGTGGGTTTTGAAAGGAAAGAGCAGGTAAACCAAAGCGCAAAGGTGGTTTCCGGGGAGGTTGTGTTTGTTTTTTTGGCAGGGGGGGGGCTGTTCAGTGTTTCTCAGCGTTTTTGACAGTCTTGGGTTTTTGCAGGGGGCTGCTTTCAAGTGTTTCGCAGTGTTTCTGCCTTTATTTTTGACAGTCTCAGTCTTCACTTGTGAGGTCTTTTTCTTCTATGTCGCTGGTCTTTTTTTTCAAAGGGAACAGTGGCCCACTTGTTTTGGGTCTGTTGAATGAAGATGTCTCACACCAGGCGCAACAGGGGCTCAAGCTGATTTTCTTTCCCAGTTGCTGTGTTCTCATCATCGAGGAGCGGCACCGTGTGCCTGACGTCTGTGTTGTCTCCTCACGGCTGCAGGTCCCCCCTCCCCCACCCAGTGTCCTCCTTCGACCGCGGTCGTGTGTACCGTCCCGGGCCCACTGCTCCGGCCACCACGAGGACGTAATCCCCGACTTCTTGCCAATCACCGTGACACCATGGACCCGAGTTCCAGTCCGCCTCAGCACCACCGCCTCATGGCTGTTGTCCAACTCTGTCCTGCCAGTTCCGACTTCGTCTTAGCCGCGTCTTAGCCGCCTTCTACGGCTGCAACACCGTCACCGTGAGCACCAGCTCGCGAATGCGCCATTGAACTTGTTCACCGCTGGCTGTTCTTTTCTCTCAATTGGACCAAACTCTTGGGCGCACGCGCGTGCACACGCACACGCACACGCAGATGCGCACTCGCACGCACACACATGCACGCCTCGCTTGTCTCTGATGCACACACACACACACACACGCGCGCGCTTTCAGTCACACACTCACACACCCACACATGAGTTAGCATCAAAATTACCGTCATGTACTTTATATGGGGGTGTTTCATGCACGTATTGTGTTTTCGTTTTTGCTCGAAAAACGATACGTGACGTCCAAAAAACGATACCCCTTCAGCATGTCATGCCCTTT